TTGTCGGAAAAATCAATATTATCGCGTAAAATACCCGGGGTATTATAAGCGGATATTCTCATATAAAACAAAATTTTCGATAGTAATAGGGGGGTACTTTACACAGATATACATATACCCTCCTCCCATCAAAGTACCCCCCTGATGAGGTACCCCGGGTACTATACAAAAACAGTAAAATACCCGGGGTACTTTAGTCAAAGAAATACGGTAATTTGTATTAAATAAAATTGTGGCTTCTAAAAATAAGCACTCCTTACAGTTAAAGGGTACCTTCTCCATAAAACAAAGAAATTTTTTCGGTAAGATTATCTATCTTACTATAGATTTCGTTGGATTCGTTTTTTCGTTTTTCTTTTAATAATTTGAGTTCCATATCAATTTGTTGTTTGAAAATATAGAAAACGAAGCATATGATGACAATGAATAGGTATATAAATAGTTTTTCTCCAAATACCAACGTTACGATGAGGATAAATAGAGGGATTAAAATAAAATAACTCTCTAATGGCATTTTTGAGAGAGCTTCGAAAAATTCAGTTGGCGTCATCTAAAATAATAACAGTCAAATTGGGAAATCGAAATTTAGCTAGCTCGTGATCAACAATTCCGGATCGGCACTAATATGATTTAATCAGAGATCGGTTTACAAGTACTCGGTTATTGACAATGGACATTTCGAGGCCGTACGGCAGAGTTATATATGGGTGGAATGTTATTGGTAGATGCTAAACGTTAATTTTGGTTTTGCTAAACCCTGGATGAGCCAATACGATTAAAAAATTGAATTCCATATTTATAATGTGTATGATTGGTGTGTCTGAAATAGCCATATAATATAACCCTATTCCATTAAATCGCACATAACTGATCATATAATAATAAAATGATTTCTATTCAGGATTTGCGCGGTTCTAAATGCACTAATGATGAATGGACCGAATATTGTCAGATCGAACAAATGAAACTCCTGGTAAGTGGAAAGAACGGATCTGGGAACGTTTAAAGAAGAGTAAAAGATACCTCGAAGCTAGGAGATTAATACGATTGCCGAATGGTGGTTCATATGCCTCTGAAATCGGAATAGCGATATGTTTTTCTTGTGATCAGTTAGTATATACTGGACAAAGAAAGAAGAATATAGGAAACTATAACCATATAGGAATGGAGAGACATTGGAAATTTTCATGTACCGGTAATAAATACAGTCATCCCCCCATATAGTCACACCATCGGTGCATGCTAAATCTGTGACTATAGGGGAGTGTGACTATATAGGA